GTTCAAGGGCTAACGAACCCCGTTTGCCATTGTCTGTCGGACGCATCGTGATCACGCCTGAAGAACCTATAGCACTGGCTGCCGACACAAGCTGCTCCTGAAAGGCCAACACTCGGAGTCACTTTGAGCCCGAATTTACCCTTGAAACTTGACCCATCGTGCTGCAGTCCTGCTAGATTGCTGTTGGAGAGCGCCTGTCAAAGCTGAGGAAAGCGATTCTCACCCCAGGAGCGGCGCTACTGAACAACCTCGGTGGGGTTTGGAGTACTAGAGGCCTTATAGAGGTGCATCAGGAGCTTTTCTATGAACTTACGTCGCGCACCTTAATTATTGTTGCCTTTTGGTGTGCACGGTGTGCTACATTCACGCCTTCAGAACTGTTCCGGGAGCATCGTGAATTCACATACAAAGGTTCACAGGCATGAATACTGTATTCTACGGACTTTTACGGGGCACGAACTTCTATTTAGTGCCCCATGACATATGTTTAAGATACACCTGCGAGTCAATTAGTGATTTTTCATTCTAAAGCTACCTAATTTTCTTTTTACTCATGAGGCGGCCATGATATGTCAGAAGAAGGCGGTGCGAACTCAATCTATCTTCAACATCTTGCTGTGTCCAGTCTTCTCATCAGAAGTGCAGGAGCTGGCGACCGAAGTGGCCCGGCTGAGCCAAGCATCAGAGGAGGAGATCCTCGAAGAGCAGCGCATCTCGATTCAACGTGCCATAGGCATTACAGAGGGCCGAAACTAATGAACCGAAGGCAGGTATCGACTAGGTTTGTTGATGAGATTGAAGCCAACCTTTGCTGCGGCGTCTTCTATTACACGCCTGATGCTACAAGGACATACTCTAGAAAGATCACAAGATCACACGCTTTGAATCCTGGCAAAGCTGATCTACTCCTATGTTTCTTGAATTCCCGTGATCGTCTCACATCCCAAATAATCTTCCGCACAGTCAGCCGCTGCCGCATGTCGTCGAAGAGCACAAGAACTCCCCAAAACCCTGTCTACCAGATTCTAGCATGGCAATGCCCCCTGCATGTCAATCAGCAATCAGTCAGCACGCTGCTCGGATAGATCGTGCAACTTGCAACCTAAAGTATCAGAAGGTCACCATGCGGTGCACCGTGAGTCCAGGTGATTGGCTGGGGAAGCAAGGTGAGCTCTATCATTCGGCGATGGCTTTGCACAGCAGGCGGGTCTGCACGAAGGGTCTGGGCAGCAGACTGTTGCCAATGCAGATAGGAGCTGGTGAAGCAGCACAGCACTCGGAGCTTTCCGGGGCGAGGCGTGCGAGGCGTACGTGTCCTACCAGATCACGCCATGCATGCATACATACATAATATATACATATATAAGTACTACACAAATAGAGAACAATATACACTTCGAACTTCCCTACCCCAGAATGTAGCTACTTGGCGGGTGCGGGATCCCCATCGGCTTCAAAGTTCAGAGTCGAAGAAAATGACAATACCTTCATGTTGCCTGCCAAGCAGCACTACATAGTAGGCATGCGCCTTTCAAGTGAGAGGTCACCAGAATTCCAGAGCAGACTCGCTGATCTGGATGCGGAGCATCGCAAGGCCCGCCCGCTTTCAACTTGGTCCATCCGGCAGCTTTGTATGCACCGGCAGCAAGCCTTTGAGGCATTCTTACCCAAACAGTGCCTGCACTTTGAGGTTCTTGCGTCGGTCAAGAGATGTAAAAGGGAAGAGGCCCCTTTGATGCGGCGCCAAGGCTTTCTCGCGTTTCTGCCTGTGCTCTCGCATGCGCAAATGTCAAGAAGCACCCCAAGCTCGCAAATAGCGTGCACTGGAGCTCACCTCGGTCGGACTCGGTCCCACGCGCATCACTGCCGTCGTGTTTAAGGTCATGGAGAAGTAGAAGTGGTGGAGTGCTGTAGTCTTGGAGTGCGTTTGCCGGTCTGCAAGTTGTCTTGGCAAGCTCTTGGAGCGCCTATACATTGCCTCGGGCCTCTAAGCCTCATACTGGTTGACGTAAAACCAGTACTTAAGCTACATCGACACGGCGGTGTGGTTCTGTGCTTTGGCCCTGTCTTGCAGAGGCGTTAGCAAGGTCAGGCGAAGCTTGTGCTTTGTGTGACCCCGAAGGGTTTCAATTCGTCACAATTTGTGGACGCATCTGCCGAGGTCATCTCTGGTTTCCTGAGCCTTATGAGAACGTTCTACAAAGTATTGCGAAATGCTAAACCCAACAACAACCATTCCAACCTTAGCAGTAGACACGTGGTTACTGTTTGTTCACCAAACGGGCCATCAACGAGCCCAAGTTGTGAAAGACCCAACTTTAAGAATCAACGTCCAGGGCATGATCCAGGCCTTCACGGGCCCCTGATTCCAGTTTGTCCGGTGCTGAGATGAAGGGATGTGGGCAGGGAGAGGGTCGGAGGGTTGGCAGTTTGTGGTGTTCAGGCTTTCCTTCCCCGCACTTGGACTGAAGGGTCTTTGCTGCAGATAGCAGTTCGTTCTCCGGGTGTAGCGACTTCGGGTGAGCTCGACGCCAGGGAATCTTGTCAACCTATGTTTGCGACACAAACATTTTCAGGCTTGTCTTTTTGGGCTTGCGAACGTCTCGCCAAATCAGCTTCTGGGGAAGGGGCATGCAGATGATGTCGAGACCACCCTATGCTAATGACCACGTGTGATTGGCAGTGTCAGCCCTAAGCATACCAGGAATCGTTGGAGAACGCCGGCTTCGTCCAACGTCAGATGCCGCAGGGGCGCTCCGCCCCTCTGGCACGCCGACAATAGACAGCTGGTGAGGGAGCAGCAGCTGCCAGAGCTTTCCCTTGCATCCTTCCAATGCAGTGCCACGTGTAGTAATCGGAGGTGGTCATTTCACCACTTTATTGTTGCTAGGCCGTAAGTCTTGCTGCCGTTACTGCTTGAACAGAGGCATGTGACTGCTGACAATGGCAGGCCGCGGAAGTACCTGTAGTTAGTCTGTAGTTAGTCTGGAAGCAAACTGTGCCGGGTTCTTGCGCCAGCCTTGGATGGAAGGGTGCAGGATTGCGCGGCATCGTTCTTGCCAGCCACTGCTTGTTTGGCGAGTCCGCAGCATTAGAACACTAGAACCTGTGGATGCGCAAATCTCAAGCAGCTATAAAACTGTCGGTAAGGTCGGACTTTTGATTCAAGCATGCTGTGAAGACCAGCTGAATAAGCAATCGTCGACCTGTTGAGCAGGCCAGATCTGATGTATAGCCAGGTAGAGACACCTCATCCTTGCTGCCAGAGCTGCCGGCGACCTGAATCATTCCGAATTCCCCCCCACGTACTTTGGTCAGACCTGGGTGAAGGTCCGGGTTACACAGCTTTACACGCACATGCAGCAGTAAGACGTGGCGTGCTGGATGAGCGGATTCAAGCACATTATGTGCACCAGACCTGAAGGTCAAAAGGCGGTGATTTTGAGGGCAGCTTCGGGATGCTGAGGAGGAACAACGACTTTCCCTTTTAAGAGCTGCCTCTAGTTGCATATGAGCTTTCGACATCGTCTACGCGAGAAGTATGTCTTCCAGACTCTTCTTTGTCTGCAGGACAAGTCATTAGTCCCTGGCTTGTTTCAGGAAAGGGGCCCAGTGCACACTGTGTTCGGAGTCGAATGGTGGTGTCGGGTGGGACCCTATTATCTCTTGTTGTTGCAATCGATGGGTGGTAAAGTCAGGAACCCTAAAAGGAATGTTGGGAAACCTACACCCCTAGAAGGAGTGTTGAGCCCAGGAGCGATGGGCAAAGGAACGATGCCAGAGCCCGAAAGGCTGCCATGGTGCTGCGGGGAGTTCTGCATACTCGACTCCATAATCTGTGCATGTTCCTGCCGACTTGTGATTCGGGGGCATGGGGGCTTGGGGTGATGGGGGGCTTGGGGCTTTCACAATCGAATTCCACCTCACGGTGCCTCATGATGGGGGGGACTGCCTGACTGACCTTCGGGACAGAATTTTGTTATCTGCCTGCCTTGTAGGCCTGAAAGGCCGATGTTGGCAGGAGAGTCCAGCAAATACTGGTGATGGATCTTGCTGGCACACATCGAGAGCTCATAGCACGGTAGGTTCCAGCCTGGCAAGACCCGCTGCAGCCAGTAGTCGTAGGATGCACGTGAAACGGAGAATCGAAACACACTCTGGCGCGTGCAGCTCCGAAGACGAACTGCTGTCAGAATGTCGCGAAAAGTCCGGCATGTCTGAGGTGGTAGCTGGTAGCTTGTCAACAAGTATACGTAGGTTCAGGCCACTTGAAGTTTATTGATGCCAAATTCAAGAAATGCGTAGCAGGGACAACACTTAGAACTCTCATAGCCAGGTGTGGGCAAAGAGCGATCAAAAAACAAGACGAAGAATAGAATTGCTTAACAGATCTGCGCAGATGTGGGGAGACGACAGAGTTGGACAATTGGATTGCTGCCACATGCACGTACCCCGATCACAGCATGGCCCGGAGATGTGTGCAGAACGGATGCTGCGCTGCGGTAGCACGTGCGGTGCTGTTAATCACGGTTCCGACATGGGGGTGTGTTGGGGAGCATGCGCCCTGAGCGCCCCGCCGCACCCCCTTGAAAAATGGCGCTGTTTCCACGTCTTTGGTGGGACCCCGTCTTTGAACAACGACTCAGCCGTATGATCTGCAGGTTTGAGGGCCGAAGTCATGCCACTTGTTTCGTTTGGGGCTTCGTCTCGTCTCGGCTCCCGCCCATGATTGTCACTGTTGGGGCCGAGCGTTGCCGAGCATTGTTCAGTTTCTGGACCGCTCGGAATCTTCAACTCGGTTGAACTTGTTCAACCCGGGCCACAGCGTCTGGATTTAGGGTATAGATTGGTACAGGGCATCCTTCCTGATAGTTTGGGATGTTGCAGCTCCGTATTTAATAAAGCTGACGCCCGCGCACCCTGCAACCGTCTGAAACCTTGGATGGGGTCGCGAAGATCGTAGGTTAGGAGACCGGTCGGCTGCAGCACCCTCTGCCAAGGTGGCAGCAATCTCCTGCCGAGTTGAAGTTCCACATGAAGGGCATGTGCCGGGCTCATTGTTTGGGATGGATTAGGGTTCATGAGGGTTTTGGCGGGATCAACGCGTTCCAGTCACTATGCAATACGTGGAGAGAGCTATACATCCCTGCTATGCGGTTCTCAGCCTTCGAAGTGTCGTTGTATACCCTTTCCGCAATCCAAGCACAAACGAAGCCGACATTTTCGTCAACAAGTTGGGTGCATTCTGCCCAATGCCCTGACCTGATGCTGAAATGCGACATCCTCACCAGGAACCGCTTCACATCATTGATAACCTGCGTGCTCATTGCCAACTGCAGAGACAAGGCGCCGATTGAGGTCAGGGCTCACAAAAGCGGGGAATGTCCAGGATATTGTGCTTTCCTTCTTTTCAAGGCTTCTGGATCGGGATCGGGAACTATACGAGCTTGGGCAGACCCAAGCACGGCTGCACGGAAAAGGGGCCCTCTCTGGATTTGCAGAATGAAAATGTATTCGCTTGCCTCAGCATCTTCCAATATTTAGCCGTGAGGAGGGATTGACTGACTGGAGCCTTCATTCACTTGTCCCAGTACTGATGCTCACCAAAATCTCGTGCAGCTGCCGGTGTGAGAGGGTGGCGCTTTCAGGGCTCAGGCGCAGCAAGATTTCGTGGTTCAGGTCACAGATGCTCACATTCTCTACACTGGAACGGATAAGGACAACACCAAAAGCATGCTGTTTGTGATTGATACAGTTTCGCTTCGAGACCCAGGGGTACAGCATGTTGAAGACGCTGGGCAGCATGTAGCTGTCTGGCGTGTTTACAGTACAAGTGCCGGCATGTTTAGCTAATTAACATTCATGCTTATCGGTCTTCATCTCCAGGCCACCTGTCTTGCAGGGCTCAGCGATGGCACCATCGGTGCGGGCCCAATGTCGACATCACTTCTGAATGCATGGCAAGCTCATGTTGCAGCGTACTTCGCCACACATGAACTGAGCACTAAGAACCCGATTTCGCTTGCCAGCAGCTGTAGGTTGTGAAATGGTTTAATTAATCATGGTCAAGGACAAATTGTGGCCATTTACGGGACACTGACTTGTCTGCATGGGTCGATTGCGTGCTGTTCTGCTGGACGCAAATGGGTTCTATGAACACGGATATGAACACCCAAAATTTGCCTCTATACGTGTCTGAAGCGAAGTTTGGCGAGGACAAGGCTGGTACTTTCAATCAAGGCTGGTACTTTCAATCACTTGAAGGTGCCTTGCAATGGCCGTATTACCCGTCAAAACGCGACGCGTGTACACACGCCTCTCCCGGAGACCATGGGACGTAAACTTCCAGAAGCAGCTGAGGCATTCTGCCTATGAAGGCAGAAATGGGCTCCGGCAGTTCCGGACAGGCAGACCTAGAGACCAACATCACCGTTCGGGTTTGTGTCTTGTGGCGTGAGGCCCTGGGAGAAGGGCACTTCAGATGCTGTCATGGGATGTCAGATCCACGAACATGGAGACGTCTTCAATTGCGGAGTATAGTCCTGAGATGTTTGGTGTCGCGGTGTCCTTGAGCATCGTTCAAGCCTTGTAGAACAGCTAACAGTTAGGAGTGCCTGAAGACTCCTTATCGCCGCATAATCGGAAGCAGCTATATTGTATATAATTACAGTTTCTATGAGGATACAGAAGAAATTTTAATTGGCACTCTCAACAAGGTGCTCGCATCTGCCGTTGACATGCTAAACCCTGCAATTCGTGGCAAGCATCGCATACAGGTCTTGCCTTTGGTCCGGCATACGGCAGGAGCCGGGACCACAGAGACTGGAACATGCAACGTATGATTGCTATACTACGACGGCAAAGCAAATGGTTCAAGGAAGTGGCGAGTGACGAAGTCTTCCTTCCATTCAGCGGTCAGTGCAGGCAGCACTTCATACGATGCGCGTAGTCAACCACTGGAAGGTGTTCTAATGTGGTGTTCTTTGCTGGCCCTGAAGTGCTATAGCTCAACCCTTGAGAGAGACACCTGGGCATAATCTTGCACCATTTTGCACCTTGCATGCATTGTTTGAAGCTGAGCAGCAAAACGCAGTGCAGTCGAGGTCGAAGCCATGGCTTTGGATGAAACAGAACAGCACCTCTTCTCTGCAAGCAGCGACAAGGCCCCCACTTCTGAGTGGGATTCTGTGGGTTCTCAGGAGGTTGAACTGAAACTCCGAATCGGCTCCAGGTTTGTAATGTAAGCACGAGGTCACGCCACATTTGTGGGTGCGTTTCGGCTGCAGGAGGTGGGTGAACCAAGGTGGCCTCAATCAATGGCAGGCGATTATTGTCTTCGACCTGAAGAGGCAGATGATCCAGTGCGAGGTGACCCCACTGGCTTTTCGGAGGTTTGGAGATTATAGGATATTCTAGGACCTAGGAGGGCTCCAGCCATCTTGTGTGTGGTTTGGGTTTAATCTTCAGCACCCAGTGCTGTTGGGCGTGGGTTTAGTTTCGGCTCTCGTCTGGACCAGATGCTTCTTTTTCTGAGTTTGGCACGTGGCGCTTCAAAACGCCAAAACCAGTGACAGCTTCGCTTTCAGAGCTTTCAGCAGCAGCCTGCCTTTTGGATGTAGGCGAAATGGTATGTGAGCTCAACCCGTAACCCTGCGCGTGTCAGGTTTCAGCTCCATCTCCCCCGACACAGATGATCCATTGCCAGGACACGGAGAACAGGTATGCAATGGCATGCATGTTCTTCGAGCATCTCTCTGAATTGTGTGAGTCATGTGAAGCTTCCTGCCTGCTGTGTTGCCTGAGTATCTTCATGTCACAGGCTTCTGCGAGTGCTAGACTTAGCTGCCTGAGCTTGAGCCCTGTGGCCCATTGCTCGTTGCCGAGGCTCAATATGGCTCGAGCCTGTGCTTCGTACTGAACGTCCTAATTACTGCTATAAGCGCTGCCTCTTCCCCCTTCTGACCTCCAGGCTCGCTGATGTTTTACCGTCTGTGCTATGGCTATGGGCATAGGCTATTGGGATGGAGGCATGGGCCGAGTTGAGAGGTTCCGGACCAAGTAACTTGTCTGCTGGAAGAGATGGACACTTTCCTGGGGTTGCATGGCTCTACATCATGTATTTAGAGACTTCCCGTGGCCTGAAACGAAGAGGACCGCACACTTGTCAAAATATGTAGCGCATGGGATATTCAGGCCATTCAAGCATGTAGGTTTTGGTATACCATCTTGGCGTGCGCATGACAGACATGACCAACAGTCTTTCGATGACGGCGTGTTTATTGAGACACCGTTGACACCAATTTCAAAGTTAACTTGCTCATGATCAAAACCTCTTCGCTAGACACACACACACACACACTCGTAGCATCGGACCTTGATTTCGCAGCTCTTTTCGAGGCCATGCGCCGTTCGCTCCTGGTAGTGCCTTTGGCATTGCTGGCAGCCTCGGCAGCTGTCGTCGAGGCAGGCATCACTTCGTTGCTGCGAATTTCTACGGTGTTGACTCAGAACATTCGGATAGGTTGAGGGGCGGTGTACTGCATGGCTAGGCGCTGGCTTGTCAGCAGAAGCATCTCGCAGCTGTTTCTCAAAGGTTGCTGCACAGCTTCATTGTGCATTAATCCGTAGGACCCCAGAATACCGCAGACCAACACGAGCTGTGGTCTTGAACTCTTGGCAAATTCGCAGTGCTAACATTGACAATGGCTTCTTGAGCCGAGCTGAAGGCGTGCCATGGGCAAGAAAAGCAAGGCAGCACAGGCAGCGCAGGCAGCGCTGAACCCTGGACTGGGACAGGCTGACGAGCTCATCGAAACAGGTGAGGAGCACCTAGCCGAGAGCCGCTTGCCTGAGGCTTTGCAATGCTTCTCGGATGCTGCCGCCGCTGCGCCAACCCGCCAGCTGGCATGGTATAATCAGGGCATCGCAGCAGCGGAGCTGTGGCAAGACCTAGAGGCAGAGCAGCTAGAGGGTGGAGGGCGGCAATTGCTAGAAACAGCCGTCCTCGCATTTCGGAAAATCTTCGAGCTGGACACCTCCAGACGCTCAGAGCTGCGCTACCTCGGTGCCGTGGCAGCAGGACGTCTCCTTGTTGGCGCTGCTGAGCTTTCTGAGAACCTCGGTTCGGACTCCACGGACTGCGAGGGCTTCGCTACAGAAGCTTCCAGACATTTCGAGGAGGCTCATCGCTTGGTCCGTGAATGGGGACACGAGGATCTGGGCGGTGCGTGGGGTGACTGGGGGCGAGCGCTAGCGCTACAGATGCGGAGGCACATTCATAGCTTCCCGCAAGCTGCGAGCAGCAGTAGCTGGAGCGATGTGCTAGTAATGCTAAGTGACCTTTGCAACGAGGCTGCGTCGAGGTTTCGTGCTGCCACAGAGGCATCGGTGGAAGTGGAAGGGTCAGACAATGAAGCAATGGGGGACGCCAGCACAAGCGACCTGCATTGGATGGTTTTGCATGTCGAGCACCTGACAGCTTTTGTGAGCTTCGCCGCTCGTGGGGTCAGCGAAGCCGTGGCAGAGACTCAATTGGAGTGGCTTCGCCGTGGCCTCCTGGCTTGGCAGGAGTCGGTTCGTCTCGTTTTGGGTGTTGTCGACCTCAGCGCAGACTCTGGACAGAACTGGCAGCACGAAGCCTTGCAAGGAGATGTGTTTACAGCAGGCTACCACCTCCTCACCGCGGCAGCGAAGAACGCTTCACCCGTGCACCTTGCGGCCGTTGCAAGCAATGCAGCAGGTGTGCCCGAGAGCTGGCGAGGCCTGCTCGGAAATTTCGGAAGCCAAGGTGTGCTGACCGTGTTGATGCCATTGCCTCCCAAGTCCAGCGTCATGGCGAGCGAGGTGCCCGAGCAGTCATCTGTTGTGACTCCGGCGGCCGAGGCGTCTGAGGTTCATGACGGGGACCTCGCGCGCTTAGCCGAGGGAGCTTACGGCCGTGCCTTGGCGTCTCCTGGGGTGGACCGAGGTGAGGTGGGTCTCTCCAGCGGTGAGCTGGAGCTGTCATTGGCCCGTCGGGCACTGTCACGTGGCCAGGATGCCACGACGCCTTTGCAAGCGGCCGCCGCATCACTGCAGCTTGCGGCCCGATTCGGTACACGTGAGGAAAAGGCCACAGCCTGGTACAACTTGGCCTGCGCGGCCGCTTTGGCAGAGCGGCCCGCGAAGGCATTTGAGGCACTTCGGACCGGCTTCCAACTCGTTGCACCGCTCGCACCGTCGCATCGTGCAGACTGGCTGCGCGAGCTCTCTGAAGATCCAGATCTCAAGAGTCTGGTCCAGCACCCAGACTGGCCCCGCGCGTTGCAAGGATTGTAGACATTGTAGACTGTACACGTCAGTACACGTAGACATGCAGTCGAAGCCGCCAGGGTGTGTTAATGCTTTGGGCCTATAGTCCTTGTTTGCGTGAGTTGCATGAGTTTACATGGCGTTTCTGGGCCCATCCTTGCTACATCATATTGTGGCATACTAGCCTGGGGAATCTGTCACAGCGCAACACCCTTACCTCACACGAAGTAGATCTACCAAGAGAGGTGAGACTTCATGTTTCTGTTGACTCTGCAGTGCAACTTCATGTATCAGCGGCAGCCATTTCGGTTTGCCGCCTTCGATAGACGAGGGGTTCGGTCCATGCTCTGCCGTGAAGATAAACGCCACGGCAGAAGTTCTTACATCCACATGCCCTGTCTCCAGGGTTTTTGCGACCTTAGGCGTGCAAGATCTTTCAGCGACCATTGTGCCATTATGTGTACAGCAGCAGCGGCCGACCAGGCCACGAATTGCAGGGCATTTCGTTGAGGAGCTGATTGTTCGCGCCTGAAGTTTCGCGGACAGACTTGTTCTGAAAAATGGTCCTACCATCCTGCGTTGGCATTGGCCAAATAGTGGGGTCCGGGTTTGTGATTTTGTAGAAGGTCCATCCTGACCTGGTGTGAATGGCCGGCCATGCAAGTTTCAGTCTAGAGCTTTATCAATAGCAGGTTTAGATGCTGCTTTGCGGTCCTGGTCGGTTTACGTTAGATTTCAGTTGTGCACTTGACTGCACTCGACAGAAGCATCACTGTATCACTCTCAGATGGCTTCTCCTGCGAGGCGATGCTAGGCGTGCAGTTGCTTCACGATAATGTAGTGTACTTGCCGTTCCGGCCCAGCAGACTCTGTAAAGGATTCCATTTCTAGACACCAGCTCCACGCCACGCAAAGTTTTGCAAATCTTGTGGTTGCTGCTCCATCCTCCGTAAGCAGTTGTTGTTGCAGCTTCTTCATTGTGCTACTAACAAGCTCATTCAGCAGAATGTTCCCCGAAACCTCCCCACACAAGTGTAGGTTGAATCCTCGCTGCCTGCCGATGAGTGCACGGAGCTCTCAGACGAACTTTCCGGCTGTGCTCTGCGACCTGACCGCTACATCTCTACTTCTGTTCTTCTGACGGGGTTGTGCTTGGGCCACTTGCGGTCTCAGTGGTTCTGCGGTTTGCGTCGCCAAGGCTGCAGAGGGTCTAATTGCATGATGTGAGAATGCCCGGTATACCCTGTCACGATGTGGCAGTGCGAAGGCATAGTCGCAAGTCTTTGCGCATGGTGTTTCATGAAAGTTTCTGGTGGGATAGGGCGGCTCCAGATGCAAATTGATTGTCAGATTCTGGTTTAAGGCTAAGTAAGGTCCATTGGCTTAGCTAAGTCCTATGGTCACTGCTAGAGGTCCCACATGTCCCTCCATGCCTTCTCAGAGTCCAGGAGCGCTTTGCAGCTCAAAACGCAGAAGCACCTGTCGGACGGCACTTTGCCCGACAGCTTCTCTGTGACGCTCTCCACTGAGGCTCGGTGGGAGGGGTTTCGTGATTGTTGGGACTTGTCGTCCTGTCCATTGTCTTCCAAGCGATGCATCCTGTGTGATCATTTGCACGCAGCATTGGGGCCTACATGGCCCCAGTGCTTTTTACGAGCCTGGCTCCCCGGCTCATGGTTTCAACCACATCCTTCTCCCGATTATTCTTCTCCAGGCCCTTGCAGTCGTGTCTGGAAGTGTGAATGGGGACTAGGACTTGGAGTTGCTGGTCTTTGCAAGGGCCTATAAGCCGTGTTGTCAATCCCAGTAGACGGGGTTGGAGTCCTGAAATGATCTGAAATGCCTACACCCCCAGACAAGACTGCCTGATGGCAAGCTGTTCTGACCCAGGAGAGCGGAGTCCTGCAAGAGCGCGGCGCAGCAATGCAAGCAAGAACGCAAACGCCAGCTTCAACCCTTTTCCGACACGCGACCTCAACCGAATATGCACGAGGCAAAGACCAAAGACACAGTCAGCAAAAAATCCTATAAGAAAAGCTTGTGGGAAGCTTGGGCCACAGCTTCTTGGAGCTGCAGGATGGCAAGGGGCATGTGACCGAAGGTGAGCAGGCGCGGTAGACCAGCCTGGATGCTCCCTGCTTCGGGGTAGTGATTGTGGCTGTATGATTCACTGTATGATGATTAACTATGATGATTAAAGGTGAGTGTCATGTCGCCCAGTCGCCCTTTGACTGCGGAACTAGCAATTGTTACCCGGGAGGGTTGCCCAGGTTGATGAGTAAACCGAGAACTGAGGGAAGAAGCTGTCAGATGCCAAAAGCGAAATTACTCGTTCAAGTCATGTCAAATTAGCGGGAGTAATGTCTTTCTGCGTCCCATGTGGTTTACATCTAGGGTGCACATTGCTCGCGCGTTCGTTTCGTGTATCCTTGTCGAAGCCGGTTGAGATGCTGTGTGTTTAGCAAGGCATTGGAGTCATTGCTTCTGTAGTCCGTGGGTAACCAAAGTTGCCGGCCACAGCGAAATTTACTATGCGGAACTGTTCCTGCAGTAGCTGCTGCCCGTGCTGGTACTTTATCACTGCAATCTTTGGCAAAAGGCGTGTTTTTGCATTGGTCTCGAGGCTTTCGTGACAGTTGTTTTTTGCTGCATTCCTTTGTGCTTGACCCTCTATCTGTTCTTGCCACTCTTGCTGCCTCCCGGCGTTTTCGCTTGTACCACGTTGGAACTTTGTAGGTCGGGCTTGCAAGGCAACTACCAGTCCGGAGTTGCGCCGTTACACAAAAAAACAGTCGACGTTTCAACGTTTCAAGAACGGATTTGGGGTTAGCTTGTGGTAAAACAGCATGTCTGGCGCGGCAAAAGTCAGGATATCACAAGCCAGGAGTTGCCATCTACATGTCTTGCAGGGATGGTGCTCTCGTGCTGTCGGCGTTATCGCCAGGCCAAGCACCAGCACCCGCAGCCGACAAAAGCGCAGGCCATGGCAGTTGAGCTGCAACTGTTGCCCTAAAATTCTGCTCAATTCGTGCGAAAGACTTCCCGAGCTGGCACGCATGAAAGCATGGAAAGTGGGGAGCCGGGATCTTGTGGCGCCAACTCGGACACTAGGCCAGAATCCTTGCGGCTATGCCGGAGACAAGTTACAAGCCTCGAGCTGCAACCTAGGAGCTAAGGAGGAAGCTTCATTCTGGGCAAACCCCTGGCAAAACGGCCCTCGCCCCCTATAGAGGCTTCTCATCACATGCCTTGGCAGAATCTTGAGTCAACGAGGACGCGAATAGAAAAGGATTAAGGGCAGAAGACCTGAGAAAACTCCTCCGGGAGTGTTGGTCCCAGAACCTTGGAGGCCCTACCACAAGAAGTGTTTGTTGAAAAACAACACCCTGCGGACTTAAGTGCCATGATGTGCCACGTTTCGACTTGAAGCGGGCTATGCATGTGCGGTGCGAGGCCAGTCAGCTCAATCAGATACTGAGTAACGTCAAAGACATCTCGCTTAGGAGCCACACCACCCCGACCTGCAGAAGCGTGGCTCCCTCAGTGTCGTTTAGAACTTGAATGCATTCGGATGTTGGTTTCAGGCTCGAGGCTTTAGGCTGCTTGGCTGTCGATGAACGCGGAACGCAGCTTCCTGGTTTGGGGTCAGCCTGCATCAAGCATGGCTTCCTAAAGGTTCAATAAGTTTTGAACCAAACGATGCCGCCAGATGGTCAACCGCAGCTGCTCGACACAAGCAGGCGATCCATCCGCATGGGTTCAGGAGTGACGGTTTTGCAGTTTGACGTGATTCGGGCTTGGGGTTATATCCAGTCCGGGTGACACTCTCGGATGCCCCATCTTTGCACCCGCGGCTTTGGTCAAGGGATTAGCAGGTTGGAAGATGAACTAGTAGTGCTGTTTTGCTTGAGCCTGGCCACTCCAGGCCAGACTGGGTGAGGTCAGCTGCTCTCATCGTGTCATGCCACGTAACACTTAAATTCTGTATGCCGGATACCCGGCCATGCCACGCACTACATCCCCAAGATTCATCCTGCAGGTCAGGAGCAGCCTGCTGCATGTGCGGCTCTGGTGAAGTTGGCTTCTCTGCCAGTGGCAGCTGCACTTTCTGCTGCCTGTCGAAGACTGGGCTGTCGTGTTGATTGTGTTGAAGTAGGAGTTGAAGCTGATGGGATGCAGCGCGTGCCTCACCACTGCAAACCTATCACAGACTGTCACCTGCAGCCGCAAAGCTGCTAGCTCCATGCCAGCATCATGCCGCTGCTACGTCGAGGCCAGAGCGATGTGACAAGGACCGAGACTGCGCCTGCGTCATGCCACCTGCAGCTCAGCTTCCCAAGATGACGAGTTCTGTTGTGGGTGGAGGCATAGCGTCGCTTCGTTCCGTTTGCTGGTTCTGTTGCCGCTGCGTTTTGCTGCTCGGGATGCTGCGTCTTCCCGACGAAATACTCATTGCCCACGGAAGAACTTCAAAAGCAACCAGCTACGCAAGTAGGCAGTAGCATGCCGTAGTTGTAGTGTGGCCAAATTTGTCTCAGGCAGAAAAGTATGCAGTTCGGTGCTCAGGTCTTTGATCGATGCCACTGCGCGAACACATTGCGCGCAGCAATGCGGTCGGCAATTTAGGCCGGCCATCGTGCCATCAATTTGGCCAGCAAGTTGTTCAGCTCATTTTGGTGCTCAGGCTCAGTTGAAGGACATGGCATCTGGAGTGCTGTGCAAGCAGCACTTGCCACAGTTGACCCCAAATAAACATATCACGAAAGCTGGCAGAGCAAGGCTTGAGTTCAGGCTCTACTTTAGTACGATTACACCGATCGTCCCGACATAATGTATCAATAGTTGGTTTCTCGGTAGACCTGTTAAATAGGGGAGCGAGTTGGGTCACGATTGTCGCCACGGTCGCGCGAATCTGAGCTAGCTTTCGCAGGCCTCACTCAGCCCATGAGAAAAATCAAACACCCCGAGGGCTTTCAGACCTGGAGTACCATTGCCAGATTAATGTGACGTTGTGTGTAGTTGGAGGCTGTGTGTTGATGTGGAGCTTGTCGGCGGCCGGTTTGAGCAGGAGCTACTTTTTTGGAATAATTGGTTAGGCTTCTTGGATTTCTCACACTGTTCTTTTGCCTCAGCTCTCGGACATCTTGGATCCTGATAAGCAGCAAGCTTTAGCATTTGCGGGTGTCGTCTCACGAGCAAGAAAGTGGCGTATGAACAACAAAGAGAGAAATCAGCCTACGCTCGGGGGTTTTCAGGGCCATGCTGAGCTAATTGAGGGGGTTTACGAACCGTGTTACGCCCCATTTCCGAGATGTCCTGGCCCAGGCTCGCACCACTCACTCGGGGTTTATATTCATGCAGCATTTGTTTGTCAGCATGCCACAATCCTGCGTATCTGACATCCCTTATCCACTATGCCCTCACGCATTATGCATCAGAGTCGGACTTCCTTGTCCATTATGTATTTTGCTAGATGGCAGTCCAAGACCATAAGCTCTGCGACAGCACGCCCTAAACCGACATACGGTGGGGTTGAGAGGCGGAAGAGTTGGTACCCGGAGGGCCTCAACCTGTGACTGGCCATGGAGGCTGAGATGCGCCTGTGGGCTCAGCAGATCTAAGAGCATTCCTCCTATGTAACTGTTGTGATGATTGCCAACTGCCAGCATTCTTGACCGGACCTGCTGTTCCAAAGGCGGCAATTGTTGCTGCAATGTCTCCCCAGCAGGCGAAGGGTCTGCTTTGTGAATTCGGGTCATACAAGCCCGAACAAATCCCGCACCTCGTGAAGTGCTGTACATACAATGTGATCCCCACAGGTTCAGACCTGGGCGATTAGAAGCCCTCGGGAGAAAGCAATCTTAGTGACATCTCCAGCGACTAACACTCGCTCACCCCGACTAAGCTTAGCCGCACGACCCGCTGCGACGAGAGAGCGCAAATCCTGCGAACACCGGCCGACAACAATCGCGCTGTGTGAATTGTGATTGGGATCCTGTTCCCTGACCGCCCTGACGGGTCCGTCTTGACGGTGGACGGAAGTAATCTTGTACTGCTTGCATTTGAGTTGGCACGGGGTTGGAGCATTCAAGAAAATGTCTGGTAGGGTCATCGTGTGGCAGTGTGCTCGGGCGGCGCGAGGCACTAGAAGGGGTTGTTGTTTATCGTTGACATCCATGTGACTACACAAGAGCAGAGGCAGCTCAGTTTGCTGTAGCCAGATGTCCGTTGGCTTCATTCGCTTCCAGACAGTCTGAATGGATGCCTCGTCCGTGCAACTTGCTGCCTGAGCGAGCCGTCTTTGTCGGCTTTACCCTCCCGGAACTCTTGACGATCCTTGTTCTGGGCTTGGTTGCAATTGAGAGCTCTGACATGATCAACTAGTTGCAGAGCTTCTGGGGTGTCGGGACTATATCGGGACAACAATCTAGGGTATCGTAGGCTTACTCTGGGACGTTCAGAATGAAAGGCCTACATTGGGCCTACATATTTCTTGGAGCTCTTGGGTATCGTGAGCCTGCGTGGATGTAGCTTCACCTGCGCAGTTGTGCCCGAAATGCCCTAGAGATGCCTTCAAGGAAAAACTTATAGGACACCGACTTTGGAGGCTTCCAACATCCCCTTGCCAGGAGCAGCGCCGCCTTTTCACTGCGATGAGGAATGGGACTGTGGCCGCCGACAACTCAGAGATGGCCTGGATTTGCAAGAAACCGTAGAAAGTCTGCATATTACAAGTCTCGCTTCCTGGCTTGAGTTTTGTGTTGTAATTGGGTAGTTCCAGAGGAATATTCCCTTCACAAGCCGGAGCAAGTGGGCGACTTCCAAACATCCCTGAACTCTGACAGCCCAGGTGTGGGATACTTCCATCTTGCCTCTCCAGAGAATAGCGATCGTCCCAGACGGTGGCGTGCTCGGTGGCTCCATGTGGGAGGTTTGCTTTGTGGGGCCCGTTCGCGTGCCTCGCTTGTTTCTCACGAAGCTGAACTTCTTATCGCCCAAAGCTTGGGCACCACAAATTCGCCGATGCATCTTGCAACCTGCCCTTCTAGAATCTCCGAATCTCAAAATATCAAAGCCTAGTTCTGAACTCCCGGCCTTCGATCAAAGGCTTTGGTTCAAGGATGTACGAGACGCCCAGTTAAGCATCCTTTTTGGCTCCCACCGTCCGGTGAAGATCCATGAAGAAGGCGTCTTTTGGAGTGTTTTGACAGCTGGACAGCCGCCAAGGTGCTACTCAACTGGGCAATCCCATTACGACCATGGATTACGATTCCTCGACAGGGACGCTGTTCACAGGGTCGACGCCTTACAACGCGGAAGCTTATGTCGCAAAAACACAGTGCACAGGGCCCCTCATAAGGCTTCTGCGGCCAATTGCTCGACCTCAATGGCCTGTGAGATGTTTGCATTGCTCTGTCTCAGTGCTACAGTTTGGTCTAACAACAAAACGCTGAAGTATCACGGATGCGTTGCATCAGAGCCAGACAGCGATCCAGGTCAAAAGATGGCATTCATCTCTGGGCTGTGAAGACCTCCGACATGGGAGGCCTTACTCGTCGGTCCCAGGGCAGAGAAGGTCCGAAGGGTGTTTGAAAAGTTTTTGGGGCTGATCTAAACCTGAAAGGCTTTATCGATTTTCAATTTGCGATAGATTTGGGACCTGTCTGGGATCGTGTAAGGGAGTCGTTGAAAGACTTGAAAAGGGGTCCGGGCAGTCGAGGGAGGTCAACGCAAGAAGAACGCCCTTCGAGACTGCTTCGGCTTCAAGGAGTGGATGACTAGGGAAACAGACCTTTGAAAGACCGTTGCAACCTTCGAAAGATCCCCGGTTCAGCTTCACGTTCTCTGGCTGTGAACATCACAGGGATTGGTCATGAGCGCCTTGTGCGGACGGCACTGCTGGCCATCGTGGACATCTCCACTGCATGAATGACCTGTTATGCGCGAACAATGCAATGGGGAGGTAGCGTCCAGAGGGAGAGCCGATATCCTGATAACCTGATAATTAAGCTAACGAGGCTAAACCTACCGAGAAGTAAGGCTGAGCCGCAGAGATAACATCGATGCTGTCGGCCTTAATTGAGGGCGGTAACACACACACACACACACAGCTCAAACCATTCAGATAGGAGTGCACGTTTTTGGTCGAAGCATGGTTTTTATTCCAACACAGCCTGAATACAGCTCGGGGATCACCCCGGACACGCGCAGCTCGTCCAAAGGCGCAGAGCCAATGAGCTCGGGGGAGGGCACACGTAACATATCTTCCTTCTGCGCATTCTTCCTTCATGTTGCTCACACATGTCCCCTGGTGTAACCGAGCCCTACCAAGCGCCCTTTTCACACCGACTGACTCGGTGGAGCGTGCTCCTCGGGGCGACCTCCCTAGGGAGGTCAAGCGCGCTGCAAGCAAGCAAGCAAGAGGGGATCATGTCAGACCGGTGACCTTGCGCACCTTTGGGGGCGGCCGCTTCGGTGGCCATGCTTGCTGGAAGGCAGGAAGGAAGGAAGGAATGAAGAGAGAGAGAGAGAGAGAGAGAGAGAGAAATGGTGCGGCCCACGGGGTAGCCTGCCAGTTGGCTATGCAAGCGGGGCAAGCCATGCAAGCAGCAGCCAATGAGACAAGAGAAGCCGGCGGAGAACAGCAAGCTGGAGCGATGGCCCCGCAGGAAGCTGGGCCAGCAGGGGAAGCACACCCTGCAGATGTCATAGCATTGGCGGCAGGAGCAGCGGAGTCACAGAAGCGAAACGACGGGAAACCGCTACACCAACCGCTCCGAGAAGCAAGGAGTCGACTCGTGGAGGTGCTGCCGTACCTGGAAACAGAAGTGGCGGCCATCGTGAGAGGGGCAATCCGAAGCATAGACGAATGGACACATCTCCAACTCGGGGAAAGCGTGATACTGGTAGAAGAAAGTCAACAAGAGGAAGCTTGAATGACAGGGAGGAGATCACGCCAGAGACGCAGCCGTGGCCGAGAACAACGACTACTGAGAGAGGGAAACAGAAAGATGGCAACTGTCAGCCACACCCCGGGGGAAAGCAAGGGATCTGAGCGGGGGAGTTGGGGAGGCTTCGGGAAGGTAAGTGAAGAGTTAGGGGATTTGGGGAAGAGGTTGAGCAGGGTAGACAAAGTAAAGAACATGTCGGACGTTCCGGGGAACAAACTGCTGTGGGATTAGGGTCTTGTCACTTGGGATCTACCATCGTGTACCTTGTGGTGCTCATACGGCCCGGAACGATAAGCAGACATGGATAGATACCTGAGCTCCATAAGCAGTGAGAAGATTCGGGCAGACTGTGAGTGGGATAAGAAGATAGGGGAAGATAACGCTGCAGGAGCGGTTCACCGGGGGATCAACAGGTGGGGTCGCCCGGGCCAACACGGTCGGGGAAACAGAAAAGCACAGAAGGACCCAACCACAGGAGCCCACCGCTACACTTTCACCCAGACCTGACTCACCTCCGGGCGCGCCTGGTTGGCGGGGGTTTCCCCCATGCCCTGCAGAAGAAGAAGAGAAATGGTGCGCGGGGGGGGCTTTCGGGCCTCCTCAAGCCCAGCAGAAGAAGAAGAAGAAGAAGCAGAAGAAGAAGAGGAAGAGAAGAAGAGAGAGAGAAAGAGAGAGAGAAATGAGTGAGGGCTGGCTTCCCAACGGACACAGTAACGCACGTCTGCGGGCGGGGTCAAGTGCGAAGAAAGAAAGAGGAGTGATGCCACAAGCACAACCCGACATCTTTTAATGTTTCTGTCCGCTTGGAGGTTGGGGCAGGAAGCTCGGGCAGATCACAGAGATGTCGTCGCCACCGACAGCCCTGGTATGGGCGTCTCATCCAAATTTCAGGATCAGGTTGAAGTCTTTGTGATGAGGGCTTCTAGCCTTTGAAAGCTTCCGATACCGTAGTAATGAGGCGTGCACTAAGGCGTGACCAGAGCTTCAGGTGTCCCGTCACTAGTATACGTGGACGTACAAACAGGTTGTGGGCAACGCTGCCCCAAGAAAAGCCCATACGAGTTACTGAGAACCCCAAGATGCCATATAGAAAAAATGTTGGGCACTGACTGTCATGAGAGACTCATTCAGCCCCCTGAGCCTCCTTGAGCTGCCACGCATTCGGTGCTAAGCTGTTTGTAGCAACTTTAAGGCGGCATCGTCGAGAGAGATCATCGCAGGCTTTGGAAATGGCGCAGTGCCTTGCTTCAGAAACTGGAGCAGGTTTGTCGGTTTTTGGCCAAGCCTGCAAGTCCGACTTCCGGGTGCGCCGCGGGTTCAACCTCCATCTCACTTTTTCTCTCGCGCGCTTCACTCTCTCGCCTTCTTCCCGGTTTGCAGCCAGGTTGTCGTCTTCGATCTGGATCAGGGCGAACCCAGCTATGCCATTCAGGCTTGCCACTCCCACGTTTATGCGAGTCAGCCTCCTATATTTCGCAAGCCCACCGCAAGCCGTGTTTTACATCGAAGCCAAATGTGACGAGTGCAATCGCATGGCCGCAGGGCCCGGGAAGTTGCTTCAGCCAAGTTGGATGAACATGTTTCTGACCATGTTGCAGCACACGCATTCACACAATTGTTCTTACTTGCTTATTGAAGGTCCTCCCTCATACGCTTGAACATGCAAAAGGGGGTTGGCAAATGAGCCAGGCACACTCAGATGGTGTCACAGCTGTGGGGGCCCCAGGCTTTGGATTTCGATGCCGCTGGCCTTGAGTCTTGAGTGCTGTGCTGCCGTAAGACTCTAACTGTCCTAACTCGTTTTGCTTCGATATTGTTTCTTGCTATCAAGAATCTGTGAACTATCCATGGAGTGGCGAAGGCAGCGTTTGGACCCTGTTCGCTGTGTCGCCCCCTCACCCCATTACTCCTTGCCCCTGAGCAGTTGAAGCGGAGTTTGTCAGCGGGCCTCCAAGCAATCCTACGAAAGGTGGACCACCCCCTGGCGACATGGTTTGGGAGCAGATTTTCATACGGCTTCGAAAATTCAATAAGTTAATTCCTGAAAGTAGATCCCCGAATTGCCCAGCATTAGAGAGCCTCGCCGTGGAGATGTCCACGGCATGGGGTATGCAGCCAGCCAAAACCCTTTTTTTCAGGGTTTCGAGGGATGTTGAGAGTCCATTTGAAGCTGACGCAAAGATCCCGCACCGTGCCAGCCAGAATGAGTTCTGAATTCAGAGCCGGCTGCGCGGCTTGATTCCTGGAATCCCATTTCCCAAAGTTGCAAAGCGCAGCATTCTTCTTGACAGGATAGCTGTCTCCATGCTACACAAGCCCGTTTGCCCAGGCCAAGTGGCTAGATGCACCTCGACGATTGCTCACGGCATCGAAGGACATGTTGCATTGACTTGAAGGAACGCATTTAAGTTTCGTTGCCCCCGTGCCCTGCATGCCATGTGCTAAACTATGTTGCGCCCCCACCCATGCCATCTCCCCCGTGGTGTGCTTAGAGGGTTGTAGGGTTTATAGGGATGTAGGGCTTTAAGGGTGTATAGGGCTTTAGGATTTCAGGGCTTTCTAGGGTTTCACGGCTGAGGCAGTTTACGGTTGCAGCGGGGGGTGATGCCATGGTGGAGGGTGGGGGGGGGGGGGGGGGGGGGCCGAGCACATACAGTCATACATTGCACAGCCATATATGGGAAGCCCACAGTAATGCCCTAAAGTTGGATGTGCCCGCTTGCGGAACTATCTCTGGACGCTCAAGATAGTTCTTTCGGTCAGATATCCGAGATGTCCACACATCCGTAAAGGACAAGACGCTGAAAATTTGGGACTTCCCATCTCTCCAGCGAGTGGGGTGCTGAGCACGTGAGCTGTCACAAGTTTGCATCGCCTCGCAGGCAGTTAGAAAATTTTCACTATGACTGGGCCGCCGACACGTCTTGCAAATGCTTGTGGCTGAGGCTTGCGACAATTATCAATCACGGCACATGCTTCTGCATGCCGAATGCCGCATCTGTGAAGAAGCTCGAGCCCACGGCCCGAAACATCTGAGTCCCAATGCTAACCTGGACCTCCCTCTCCAACCTGAATGTGTTTCACAAGCCTCCACACTCAGGTCCGCAAGTGTAGGGAGTTTAGGTTCGACTTGTGATCCCAGGAAGGAATACTTTTGTCGCACACCCCTGTCCGACGCATGAGCACTTGATGGTGACATCCTTCCTTGTCAAGCCATGTGGGAGCTGGTTCGGCTCAGCACTCGACCAGTTCTGGTCCTGGCACAACCATCAGTGGAGGCAGAAGCATCCAAACGGAGGGCCTATTTTTTTGGGTCTTTTTTTTTTTTTTTTTTTTGGTTTTTTTTTTTTTTTTTTTGGTCGATTTTCTTGGTTTTTCCTAAGAAATCCACCATTCCCTCTATATTTTTAAAGGATCTGATGTATTTTCGTGGTTTTTCGTATGAAAAACCGTAATTTCTCTGTATTTTTCTAGGAAGGCGTCACTTCTTGTAGGTTTTAGAAGGACAGAAGGAAAGAAAGAAAGACAGGAAGGAAGGAAGGAAGGAAGGAAGCAGGAAGAAAGGAAGCTAGGAAGGAAGGAGGGAAGGAAGGAAAGAAGGAAGGAAGGAAGAAAGAAAGAAACAAGGAAGGAAGGAAGGAAGAAAGAAAGGAAGGAGGGAAGGAAGGAAGCAAGGAAGAAAGGCAGGAAGAAAGGAAGGAAGCAAGGACGGAAGAAAGGAAGCAAGGGAGCAGAAGCCCAAACCTAAAACCCCTTCATTCCTAAATCCGGAAGATCCTACTGGAGTAACCCAGATAAACCTTTATCTTTTGATTGGAATGCAGGTTACTCGAAGTGATCGCGTTGCAGGTCTGTGTCCGCATCAAGTAAAACAGGTACACTGCTGTTGTGCCGCAAGCTGCCTATCTCTATCCTTCCTGTAAACCCTACACCCTAACCCTACACCCTTTCGGTGATCGTAGCGGTCCTCCGCTCAGGCGACAAAGCTGAAGTCCTCTCCGTCAAGAGGGTATAGATTCAAGGTTTTCTAAGGTTCGCAGGGTGTATAGGATTTACAGGGTTATAGTAGAAGCCAAAAAGTTGGAAACTCAATAGCCTCAATCCCTTCGAGTAAAGTATAGGGAATCCCAGCACTATTTGTCCTTGAAAAGGTTTCCAACTTTTTGGGGTTTACTGTTTAGAGTGTAGGGTTTAGGCGACTGCTTTTCTCAGCAGGCGTTAGAAATCAAGCTGGAGCACCCGCCACACCCCTTGAAGGTGTCGGATTCAAAATCCAGAGTTTTGGTAGGGCAGGGCGTCTTGTATGCTACCTTGATTGCTTTGCCGCACGGCCTTTGTGGCAAATGCCCCGCGGCCTGGATTCGTCCAGAGTGCGCGCGTCGAATGTCGAGCTCCTGCGGCAGCCAGGCTGATACGTGGCACTACCCTAGGATGCTTCATCTTCAAAATTCGGGGTCCTGATCAATAAGCCTTGAGGACACTTTCAAAGGGTACTGGAGAGTGTCCCCAAGGACTTGGTTGTTTGGGGTTTAGGGTTTCGGGTGTAGGGTTTTCGGTTTCGCGTTTGGGGTTCATTTGCTCCCCAAGATAAAGGGACCCTCAAACCTGCAAGGTTGGGTTTGAAAGCCCGGGAGCACTTGCGGCACCCTGCTTTGCAACCAAACCCGTTTTCGCCCCAACTTAGAGACCCAAGGCCGACAGACCCAAAATACTGTTTCGGTTTTTTTTTCTCTTGCTATGGGCGAGGTAAGCGCAAGAAACGACGACCTGCAACAACTGATCCCGAGCTGCTCCGCAAGCGCCCGGCATCCTGACGCCTGTGTTGGGGCGGCAGTTGAGTTTCAGGCTGTTGGGGGGTTCGGGCTTAGGGTTTAGGGTTTGGGCTGGCCGTTTTGACCTTGCTTTCTAAGCTGCACGAATTTCCTAGCCACTGGCACCTTGCATGCTGAGCCTAAGGTTCAGAATCTTCTTCAGCTTTGCACAGGTGCCCTTCACCACAGAGGTTTGGCGCTGGGTGGTCTACACACTCCTGGCGCTGCTACAGATGGTGATGTCTGCGGTGGTCCAAAGGCTCCCTCTTGGGGTCTCATATGATCCCTCTTGAATGTTCAAAGCCATCCCTCTTCCCCATCCCTCTTGATGCTTGAGGTTCAGGGTTCCTCAACGCCAAACCTGCAACTCAGCGAAACCCGCAACCCGAAACCCTAAACCGTAAACCTTAAACCCTAAACCTTAAACCTAAACCCTAAACCCTAAATTTAAAGAGGACTCTGCCGATGGTAATGGGAGCGCTTGCTGCCTTCGTGGTGGCCTGGAAGATCGGCTTCGAGGCGCGCGACATGCGGCTTCTTATCGCCTCCAGGGTTTAGGGTTTAGGGTTTAGCATTAGGATGAGGGTTTAGGGTTTAGGGTGGGTTTAGGATTTAGGGTTTAGGGTTGAAGGTTGAAGGGTTCTGGGTCTTTGTGTACCTGTCAATCTCGCGCGCTTCTTTGCGGACTTGAATTTTGCACCCACCTCTGTGCAGAACTAACTTTTCTCCTCGCCCCGGGACTCCTGTACTCCTTGCAGGGGTCTTCTGGACTGAGTCTGCCAATCCCACAGACGCAACGAATCCCACAGAGACTGTTTCCCTGGAGTGCCCACCCCCCAAAACAATCCCACAGAGTACATTTTTGGAGTGCCTCTCGCAATCCCGCAGGGACTCCCCGGGGCAGGCGAATCCCGCAGAGAACCCTGCGGAGTATTTACGGTGTTTAGGGTTTAGGGCTTAGGGTTTAGGGCTTAGGGTATAGGGTTTAGGGTTGAGGGTTTGGGGTTTAGCGTTTAGGGTTGTGCCCAGCCACTCCACCCTCAGAACGAAGGCAATTATTGAGTCGGGACGGTGGGGATGTCAGGTTCAGGGCGCGAGGGTTAGGGATTATAGTGCCCCCTATTATAACCCCTATTCAAGGACTGTCAGTATAAGGGGGGAACTAATGGTGTGTCTGGAGAGCGTGATGTGTTCCCTGTTGATAGAAAAGCCCAAAAATTTAATACGGAAATCATGCGTCTTTCATCCTTATATTTTCTTTATAAATTCTGTATGGTCTTTTAGTACTCTTTCGGCTTCGCCTTGGGGACTACATTGACATGAGCCCTAAGCGTTCTTCAAGGTCCTAAAACCCTAAAAGCCCCAAAAAGCCCTAACCTACCCCAACCCCTAAACCCTAAGCCCTAAGCCCTAAACCTTAAACCCCAACCCCTAAACCCCAAACCCTAGGCCCTAAACCCCAAAATTCCAAGACCGAAAGCTTCATGGGAGAGTCCGCCACACCTGAGGAAAGGTGGTGGCTTCCCGGCCAGAAACTGGGGCGACAGCATCGAGGTCTGTCTTACAAACTGCTTCGGGTTTCGGGTTTGGGGTTTAGGGTTTACGGTTTGGGGGGGGGGGGGGGGGGTTAGGGTTTGGGGTTTGGGGTTTGGGGTTTAGGGTTTGGGGAACCCCAGGGTTTTCCCGAAAGCCCAAAGCCCTAACTTGGGTTTAATTTGGGTGTAGGGTTTAGGGGTCTACAGGATGTTGTTTTGAATGGGGGAGTTTTATGGCAGCCCCCCCCCCCCCCCCCTTATGACAACTCTTAGATATGTAACACCCTCCCAACATGGACCTTGACTCAGAACAGGCCTGTTTCGGGTTTAGGGTTTAGGGTCCTAAGCTTGAAGCCCGACACCCGAAATGATGGAGAATGTTCGGGCCCACAACCCACTCCTGTTTTCGAAAGACTCGTTTTAGGGATTAGCAAGCGGAATTCGTCAAGCCCTGAAAGCCCCAAACCCAAAACCCTCAACCCAAGGCATCACGCGCAAGCTGTACACCGTCAGCTTCAAGTTGCATGAGGCACACACACACACACACCGCAAAGAACCGGAATCTGGGTTCGTGTCGGGTTTAGGGCCGTTTAGGGTTTGCATTCCTGCTTTGTGGTGAGCAAACATAGAAGAGCAACAGAAGCTACCCCCAAAACATCACACTCTCAAACCCTGAACACTCAACCCTAAACTCTCTGCCCAAAGCCCTGAAGCCTGAAGCCCTGAGACCCCAAAGCCCTAAACCCTAAACCAGGGTTTAGGGTTTAGGGTTTAGGGTTCGATGCTCAGAGCCTGGGTTCAAAAGAAGGGTTTAGGGTTTAGGGTGTGGGTACCCTAAACCCTACACTAGGGGACCATAACGTTTCAATCAGCCCCATATTGAAGGGGAACAAGATGTGGCTTCATCCATTGCAACCTAAACCCTAAACCCTAATCCCTAAACCCTGAACCCTAAACCCTAATCCCTAAACCCTAAACCCTAAACCCTAAACCTGGAGGTCCTGGGCTAAGGGTGTCTCAGGAAGCATCGTGGGAAGGTGGGGAGTCACTCGGTCTTAGGCCACTATTGCTTAAGAACCCCAAAAGAATAAAGATAATGATCCCTATGTAACCCTTGATAAGGAAGAACTTGTTTGCTTTTTCGGGGTTCTGAAGCACTTAAACAATTGCTAATAAACGAACTGTTGATGTATGGGGGTTGGGGGGTGGGGGTGTTAAATTTTGGTTTAAGTAGGTTGGCCGCGCTGATCGCACTTTGCACAACGCAGGCTCAGAGGTTCTGGCTCTTGGAGCATGTTCAGGAGCCAACATTAAACCGTAAATCCTTCTCTCGACCAAAAAGTGCCATGCCGCGGCGGCCGGCGCATCCCTCGAGCTGGGTCATCCTCGTTTGCCACCGACCAGACGGAACAAAATACCGCAGCTTGAAAGCACAATGTGAGCGTCATTCAAGAGTCGCACCTCATGTGACTTGATGACAGAACCGGA